GTCTGAATCTTAAAATTCTGACGAGATTTCTGGAAGTGGCAAGCGATTCCGATTATTCTAGCCGTTTAAACGCACAAAATTGATCCCGGAAACACCGAGACGACGTATAATTATAAATATACCAGCGGGGGAGGAGCCGCTTCGCGACTCTCCCCCGCTGGATCCCGTCTAGGCCCTATGAATCGAGCGCCCTTCCACATAAAGTTACCTTGAAGAAAGAAAAACCCATCGTCCATGCAAACCTCTTTGTATTGACATGCGGCGCAAGCTTGAAATGCTAGTCTCGTTATTAGGCCTGCGGCGCATGTTTCATCGGCTAGGTCGCTACCTCATCCTGCGGCCCAATCTTGAGGGATTAGTCTCCTTTTTTGGCCTGTGGCGCCAGCTTGAGCGGTTTGCTTCAAGATTAAGCCTGCGGCGCAATTTGAACGGTTACCTCCTTCCTTAAGCCTGCGGCGCTAGCTTCAATGGTTGGCTTTATAGCTTAGCCTGCGGTGCTAGCTTGTGCGGCTAGCTTCATTCTAAAGCCTGCGGCGCCAGCTTGTGCGGCTAGCTTCGTTCTAAAGCCTGCGGCGCTAGCTTGTGCGGCTAGCTTCGTTCTGAAGCCTGCGGCGCCAGGCGTGCGGCTAGCTTCGTTCTGAAGCCCTGCGGCGCTGAGCTTGTGCGGCTAACATCGTTCTGAAGCCTGCGGCGCTAGCTTGTGCGGCTAGCTTCGTTCTAAAGCCTGCGGCGCTAGCTTGTGCGGTTAGCTTCGTTCTAAAGCCTGCGGCGCTAGCTTGTGCGGCTAGCTTCGTTCTAAAGCCTGCGGCGCTAGCTTGTGCGGCTCAGCTTCGTTCTGAAGCCTGCGGCGCTAGCTTGTGCGGCTAGCTTCGTTCTGAAGCCTGCGGCGCTAGCTTGTGCGGCTAGCTTCGTTCTAAAGCCTGCGGCGCTAGCTTGTGCGGCTAGCTTCGTTCTAAAGCCTGCGGCGCTAGCTTGTGCGGTTAGCTTCGTTCTGAAGCCTGCGGCGCTAGCTTGTGCGGCTAGCTTCGTTCTGAAGCCTGCGGCGCTAGCTTGTGCGGCTGGCTTCGTTCTAAAGCCTGCGGCGCTAGCTTGTGCGGCTAGCTTCGTTCTGAAGCCTGCGGCGCTAGCTTGAGCGGCTGGCTTCGTTCTAAAGCCTGCGGCGCTAGCTTGTGCGGCTAGCTTCGTTCTAAAGCCTGCGGCGCTAACTTGAGGGATTAGCCTGAACCTTTATAGCTTAGCCTGCGGTGCTAGCTTGTGCGGCTAGCTTCATTCTAAAGCCTGCGGCGCTAGTTTCAGTGCCTAGCTGGATTCGTTAGCCTGCGACGCAGTTGAGAGCGACTGACTTCAGTATAGCGCCTCTCTACAGGAAAATACACTTCGAAACATGCATTCCGAGCATAAAGCAAAAAAATACGATAGCCAGGGATCGAACCCCCGATAGCAAGATTGGCAGGCTGATGCTCTAACCGCTATACCATGAAATGCTTGGGTGCGCACGCGCAACACCCCTTGTATCCCCCGAGATGACTACCGGGAAAGGGGAGCAACGGCAATGAGAGGCAGCTCCAAAGAGGCAGCCAAACGCGCGAGTGTAACTGGCAAGAATGAGGAAATTTGTATTTTCTCGCATTATGCAAATTAGCCCTCCGGGACCCCCAAAAATGAATAAAACCGGCCTTAACTTTGTAAACTTGTATTTTATCGAAATTCTGAGAACGTCATCGGAAACAGAAGGGTCGATTCCCCCGGGTGACGGAGAATTAGGGCATTTTATCCACGGGAAGGCCCTCAAATCGGGCCTCGAAAGTGACATCCACACACACACACACACATACGCGACCAAATTATATAAGGTGGGATCTATGCAAAGAAGGCAATGCAAGGCCAAAAATATTCAGTTTTATTGGAATTTTGGGAGATCTGCATAAATAACTAATTTGCAGCATCCGGTGTGAGTAGAGCAGGGGTTCGGCCCCGCTCTTTTCCAAAAGAGCCGGCTCAAGAGCTGGAGCTGAGCGGGAGCTGAAAATTTTCAGCTCCCGCTCGGCTCCTGCCCCGCTCAGCTCCGGCTCAGAGCCGGCTCTCAGAATGACCAACCCTGGTCGCCTCCGAACACGCGAATTTTCGCAAATCTGCGCACCTTTAACGCGCACGTTTATCCAGGCATCGCGTGGAGCCTAATTACGCAAAGAACGCTGGAAAAACCCGAGACGCAGACCTATATCAGCGCCCACGTATTCCGAGCGCCAATGCGCGTTATAGACGGCCCTTGCAGAACTCCTCCAGGAGCGAAAGGCAACCCGGAACCGCGACGTCTGGATTGGGGGTATGGAGGTGGGAGAGTCTCCAAATTAACCCGACAAATTTTTGTCAGGAAACCAACGAGAACCAGGAGCGCATCTACCGGTGGCGCGACGGCACGGAGGTCAAGTATGAAAATTGGAAGAAAGGGCAACCGTCCGGCACCGATCGTTATTGCATGGTTATAAGTGTCAGTTTCCTAAAATTTGAGTAGGTAGGTAGACTGGCAATCATTGTTCGGAAATTTTGCCAGGGGCGCCTAGCAGAGCTTATTTGGGCAACTTAAATAGTTAAGCATCAAAGGGTACATTTCCTATTTTTAGCGCAACGGCGAATGGATCAATCGGAGATGCTCTCAAAATTATCAAGGGGTTTGTCAACGGGCCGTTGGTGCTCAGGTAAAGGTCTCTCTCTCTTTCTCGCTCTCTCACTGTCTCTTTCTCTCTCGCTCACCATCTCTCTCGCCCTCTCTCTCTCTCTCTCTCCCTCTCTCTCTCCTCTCTCACCCTTTCTCTCTATTCCTTGAAAATTTCAGGAAGTCATGCTAAAGCCAACGTCATGTGATCGAGGCTGGCAGGGATGTGCAACTACAGAATTCTGCTACAAAGTTTCAGTTTACCTTGATACCTTGAATTCAACCCAGGTCGAAACACAAGCACTCGATTTTTCTGAGGCCCAGACGAAGTGCAAAAACGCCGGAGGAGACCTTGTCTCCATCAGCTCATTCAGGAGAACGAATGTGTCGTCGGTAAGCCTAAGTCTGAAATTTGGGTCCAGTTTTACAGAGTTTGGGCTCGCGGCAAAAGTGAAGCAGGCTTGGCTCGGACTACAGTTGGTAAAAACCTCTAAAAATGCCCAATTTTCTTGTCAGGCCCGAAATTTGACGTATGAATGGACTGACGGCAGCGAGGGCAAGTTCTTCTACTGGGTGGTGAACGAGCCGAAGGGGGACGAGTGTGCGCAGGTGCGTACCGGAACCCCTTGTTTATCTAGTTTTGCGTGCTTGTAGCCTGTAGTTATTTTTCGCGCGGCAAACTATCTTGTAAACTTACAACATTTGAAATTTCGGACGCCAATCGACCAATTTTGATCGAAAACTCTATATTATTCATTATCACAAATTTGTCGTAATGCGTTTAGGAATAGTAGGGAAAATAGTTTGGCAACACTCCTTCTATTTTATTGGGGAAAATGGGGTCCTAAGGAAAAATTCTCCCACCCTCTCCCCCGATAATGCGACAGCACCGGAAACTCTAAGTTTGTTTTTCGATACCTTTAGTGGGTTAAAAAGCTTACTTAAGGTAATTTTTCCGGCTACAGTAACCTTGATGCATTCCAGATCATCACGGAAGGCATCAGACGGTGGCACCATCGCTGGGACGACATCGCGTGTACGCAAAAAAGAGCATCAATTTGCAAGAAATCCGCTTACATTTACGCGTGATCATTTCTGAAATTCATAAAAGTACGCTTTTCTTAAAAAACTGATCTTGACCGAGCCTACACGATGACATAGGCGATACTGCAATAATGCTCTTTATCGCCCGAAATCTATAACACACGGTTTGGCAAATAAACACCCAAAAATGCCCAGTAAGGCGGAGCTACCCGTAGGAAATGAGCAGACATATATCACGGAAAGACACTGATGAAGCAAGATACAAAAAGAGCGAAACATCACAACTGCTAGAAAAAAGAAAGAAAGAAAAACCTAATACACAATCTTCACAGTTTTCACCCGATGAGGCTCTAGCGCAACGAGCTCGCGCGGCGTTTCGTCTACGTAGAGCATCGTCAGCGAGGCCTCGTGCACCGACTTGACGCTCCCCACGAAAAGATCACGAACATTGACCTAAAATGACATTTTTGGCACTGTATTGTTATCGGGGGTTTAGCGAGGGAGGGAGCCACATTTTTTTCTCATTAATCATCCAGCGCCCTATGACGAAATAGCATTTCCCATTTTCAGAATCATTTTTCCAGCATTTCTCAGAATGTTTAAATATAAAAAGCCCATCCGAAAAAAAATCGTAAATATTAGGTTGAACCGAAAGTCCTTATAACCGATTTTCCGAAATTTCTTAGGAAAGGTCTGCAGATTTGGTGCCACGGGACGAGTATAGCACTTCATAGCGCCAACGCTAACATATTTTATTTTTTAACCGTTTTCTGGCACGAAAGTACACAAGAAGGAAAAATATTATGAGAAGATATCATCAAAATCGGCATACCTGCGTCAGATTAGTGCATTCCTGATCCAAAATGCTACGTGAGCCACGGCATTCAGGCAGCCAGCGTCGTAAGACAAGAGCCGCCTCGTTCTTTGGCTTCACGGCACGGTTATTCTGAAAAACTGAGGGGTAGGCGACGAACGCAGTAGAACAACTTATATGAGTTGAACCATAAATCAAAGTTAGGGGTCTAAAGTCTAACATTCAACTGCTCCACGAATTGACAGTACAGCTGCCCCAAAAAAAATCTATATTTTTCGACCAAAACACTCGAATTTTTGAGTTTTTGCACTTGGAATATAACTAAATTTTACTAAAAAACTATTAACCGTTAGAATCCTGGCTATCACTTTAACAAGCATTTGACTTCAAAAAAAATCAGGTCCCCGCTGCCAAAAAAAACTTAAACTGAACCAATTAAACCTATTTAAATTTTGATACGAACGTTGTAATCGGTCGGGCCAGTCATCGTGCGTAGTGTCACCAGATGAACGTCACAGGGGAGAGAAGATGTTAGTCCACGCACGTTCCTGTGGGTTGGGATACCTAAAAAGTGAGATATTTTCAAAATTTTTTACAATTAGTTGACATTTCCAAACGTTCGCCGGATAGAGCGTCGAAAACTATCCTGTCCGAGTTAATTTTCGCCCGACAAAACTTATTCAACGGTTTTTAACAACTCAATGTAATAAAGGATAATTCCATGTACTAAAACATATTTTTTTTGGCTCACATCTTTGAAATTGGATTTTGGGTAGTCTAAATAGGTATTTTTGACGCTCTATCAAACGTTTTCATAAATCACGACAGAAACATAAAAATAGCGCGAAAATCATGACCAAAAATCCAAATCAAGAAAATAAAAATCAAGATGAAGAACCAAAACCAACCTTTGCCCATGATTTTCACCCAGGGATACAGTAGACTCAACGAGGCGTGGTGTGCAATGGAAGTTAGATGGCCCATCGGGGAATCCGCAATCTTTTGGCTTGTCGTCTCCAGCGGCTCGAGGAGGAGGCGGAAATGCGAGACGGTCGGACGGTTGTCAGCAAGAGCCTAAAACGAATCTACATCACCGCAAATACAATTCGTCCTAAGCATTCTAACCAAATGAATAATGACTTTCAAGGTTTTGAGCGATGCTCTATCTGAATACAACCCCGTTTTATGAAAAACTTGGGTGGGAGTGTGCGGGGGGGGGGGAATATGCTTCGCGGAAACTTCCATCTTTTCGCCATTTTCTCAGGGTATTTGCAACGCCATTCGATAGAGCATAAAATATCCTAAGAGTTTTTGTTTAGCTAAAAATATTGTAATATAAAAAAGTTCTAGCAAAAAAAACCTATTGAAACTGGTGCCGAAATGTCAGTTTTCGGCATTTTCGCCAGTTTTTCGATATTTTCAACCCGTCATTCGATAGAGCATCGAAAAATATACTAACAAAACTTAAACAAACAAATTGTAAGAGTTTTAATTTCATCTAAAAATATTGCTTTATAAAATAGTTCTAGCAAAAACAAGGTTTATACGGTGTTTCCACATGGGATCGTGGAGTCGAAAGCTAGTTTCCGACATTTTCGATATGTTTCAAAAATTCCTTTAATGCCATTCGATAGAACGTCAAAAAATATACTAAGAGTTTTAATTACAACTCAAAATAGCAACATATAAAAGTGCTATAACAAAACGAAGAACAATGCACAGTGAGGAATATCATAGGATCAACCCTGGTTTATGTTAGAAAAATGGTTCCTAAAAAGCAAAGTTCGAACCTGCAAGAGCCCGCGGTTGTCATCTTGTTGCGTTCGGCGATCCAGCATCACCTCGACATGGCCTAAACAAATATATTAAAAATTTTTGCTATTGCCAACCAGTCCTGAGGCTCGCAACTCCCAATGCCTGCGCTCCGAGCAGCGTCAAGCGCTGGACTTTATCCTAAAAAACCGGTTTTCTAAATAGTCGCGTCTCGCCTCAATATAGGCGCTTCCGGGCATCGGATAGAAGTGCGCTTGAAGGGGCAGTTTTTCCAGCATTCGTCGGCGACGAATCATCTGCAAGCCGTTCAGATCGGTGAAAAGATCGGCGCCGCTGTCGATATTCGTCTCAAAACGAAGCGCCACCTACAAAACAGGAACTACCTGCAAAAAGTACCGCGGTACCTCGATATTATCGGGGCGGTTGCTGAGATCGATGGTGTTGCAAATGCCGATTAAGTAGGATCCCTGAAAACGTAAAAAAGATGCCGGACGACTGAAAAATGCCCCAAAAAGCGCTCTAGTGCGTTACAACTAGGTGTTTCCGAATCCGCTGACCGTTGAACGCTCTCAAGAAGGCGAGCTAAACGCAGTAGCGGCCTTGTGCAGCATCCTGTTTACCAAATTTTGCAGCACATAATTTTCAAGTATCGGCTTAGGAGTACGTTGTAAAATATATGTTTTCTAAACCAGGAATTCGAGGAACCGGTGGGTTCTCCTCGATTTTTTCACAACATTTTTTAACAGTCTTTCACAAAAAGGGTGCTTTACGGAGCGCTGTTTTACTTCAAGACGGCGGGCGGCTAGAAAATGCGTAAAATAACCGGAAATTTTGGGTATCGCTGGAAGCTTTTGATTTCTTGATTCTAGGGTTGGAAGCCGACAATTCAGCAAGGAGCCATGGCGTTTTTGGACACAAATGACATAAAATTAAATTAACTAGGGCAGCCAAAATTCAATTAAAGTACCTTTTCAAGCGAATAGCTTTGGACCAATTTCCCGTCGTTCGGGCCCATCGCAAGCACACGCTTCACCAACGGCCCTTCAGCTACGACAAATGCTGGCTGTGAAACCTAAAATACAGAGGTTTATTTTCGTATTAAGAGCTACATAATCCATCGGTTTTGCTGCCCCATTCGGCAAGAAGATATACGCACCGGAGAGGTTGTCGCCACCACGATTTTTTACTGAAAAATAGATTATAAAAACTTTTCCCAACGTGAAACCCACGCGATCCACTAGGGCGGGCCCCGTACTTTACAAAGTGCGCGTTGACATCAACTTTTTCACCGGATTCCAGACGAATTTCCTGGAAAACGTGTGGCATTTAGTAATCATCAAAAATGGAGCTGGTTCGTTTGCGGGGGGGGGCATTGTAGGCGTGAAACTAAGTTTTTCCGCTGGCTGCCTTTGTTTTTCTCTGATGATTGAGGATGATGGATGTTTTTCGGACCCTGAATATTATGGTGAAGCTCAGAATGTCAAAAACCACAATGTCAAAATCTAAAATGTCGCGAAATTTAATAATATCGAAACTCCTAATATCAAAATTTCAGATTATGAAATTTCATAATATCGAAAATCGTAATATCAAAACGGTCCAGAAAGTTCGAGATCAAGACATTTAGGCTAAAGTAAGGAAATGGCCAACCGTCCCCCCTCCATTAAGGCGTCAGTGCCAAAAAAAATTACCTTCAAAAATCCGGTGTTGCCACTGAAGACAGCCGTCAGTAAGGAGTTAGATAGCTCGACGCTTCCGCTGCTTTGCTCGAATTCGAAGAAATCGTCAAGACTAGAAAGAGTGGCTAGGATTCCGATCAAATATTTACCCTTCCGGTTTTGCTCGGCCTTTGACGAGCACCAGCTCAGCGGTCGACGGCTCGTCCATCGAGTGTAGCTCAAAAACTTCGGATGCAAGGGCTGAGACCTCTGCCCAGAAGCACAGCTAAAAAGGAAGATAAAAATATGCATAGTAACGTAAACGT